CTCTTCCAGGATACTTCACCTATCAAATCATCTGGGTAAGAGTGTGAATGAGTGTCCTGTCTTTGGAAGTGGGATGCCCACTGCTGTTCACGCTTGGGGAACACTACAAAACCCAAGCAGGATCCAAATGCCAATGGGTGGTTCTAGTGATGTTTGATTTTGATTTGTCATGAGACCCAAATAAGCAGCCCTAAGGCAATGGGGAAGTGGCAAAGCGCCACTGGAAGTATGCCTGCTGTGGCTTAATGTCCGCGAGCTTGAAGCGATGGTGAAGTTTGCCTCATCCCGCCACCCCAAACCTGCAGCAGTGTCTTTGCCCCTGGTCATGTTCTTCAGGTCTAGGCTGGAACTGAGCTCTCCTTTGTCACAAGGGAGTCTTGGGAAGGACAAGCAAAGGCAGGAGGCAGGTCTTGCATAATGGGACCTGGATATTGCAGGTGGGTGAGTGTCCTACCAGAAGCCTACTGAGGCTGAGCCTGATGGCTTGTGGGCCATGATGTGATGGGATGGAACAGTCCCTGAAAAGGGTGGCGTCTGGGGAAAGACGTTCCATATCCCACTACAGAGACAGACTGCCAGCTTGCACCTTCTTTCTTGGGGATGCTCTTAAGTGAACCGTTGGAAAAAACCACTTGTTGTAGGGTCTCTGAAGAGAGAAGTAGCTAGACCTCTGGTTTTGTGAAGCTAGTAAAAGTTGAGGAGAGGGGGAGAGGGGGATGCGCCTCCATCCTTTTTTTGTCATGTAGGAGCACAAGAAACTCTGAATGTTAGACCTCATTGCACAGGACAGTAACACAGGATTAAAAAAAGGAAAAAAAAAAAAAAAAAAAAAAAAAGGGAGGTGTGTATGTGCTTACTCTCCAAGGAGAATGTTTGCTGGATGTCATAACCAACTGCATCTTTAGTTTTGGTGTTTGTTTTTTTTTTTTTACAACAGGACCATCAGTACTTATTAATTTAGTAGTTTGACTCAGCTAATGCTTCCAGGATCTATTTCCTACAAATTAAGAACACATATATTACTATGGGAATATAGAAGAAGGTACTTTGTTTAGACAACACGTTTTATTTCCAGCTTTTTTCACTTCAAATGAAATATAAATGAGTGCTAAAAGATGACATTTTGTACCATACGAGGCTGACAACGCAAATCCCGTCTCGGGGTGTTTTTTTAATTCCACATACTTTTTGATCGCAGCTTTTGTAGTTCAAAGACTCCTGTCAGAGCTTTGATGTGGGGAAACCTGCTGCGTTGTCATCTCGGGATACTAAAAGCGGGTCGCGGTGAAGGCAGGTTGGT